GAATTTGTGACACTTTGAGACAGGGGGAGGGGGGTTGGGTAAAAAAATTGTGACGTCACCATTTTTTATTTTTTTTTTATTTTTAAATCTTGAATTTTCTAATTGTGAAGAATATCTTTATTCACTTGATTTTATAAACATTATTTTGAGGTCAAAATTGCCTCAGGTATTATAGGTACCCTGACACTCAGTCGCGCACACCTTTTGCGCATATCGAAAATGACGCAAAAACTGTTGTGGCCATTTTCCATTTGACTTGTAGATGACTTTGTTGTTTCGCATCACAGCCTAGTTTTCTAATTAGCCTTTACTACAACTTAATACAGTGGTTCTCAACCTTCCTAGTGCTGCGACCCTTTAATACAGTTTCTCTCGTCGTGGCGACCCCCAGCCACACAATTATTTTCTATGCTACCTCATAGCTGTAAGGATATGTGTTTTCAGAGGGTCTTAGGCGACCCCTGGAAAAGGGTCGCGTGACCCCCAAAGGGGTCACAACCCACAGGTTGAGAACCACTGTCTTAAGTCTTAATACATTAGATTATGGGCATAAAAAATGTTTAAGAATAAAATAAAATATTAGTTTAGTTTAGCTATGAAAATTTTATATATGTGTTTTGATTTTTTTTAGGTGTGACTGACACTAGGGGGGGGGGGGGTAAAGAATTTGTGACACTTTGTGACAGGGGTAGGGAGGGTCTAAAAGGTGACGTAGTTTTCAAACGACTCCCTTAAATAAATTATTAAAAATTATAATAAAAATAAGACATGAACATGACAATTTTTTTTAATTCCCACCACACACCATACACACTACTCGCCTTTCATATTTCGTACAGAAATATCATTAGTTAAAAAAATAATCCGATTTTTCAAATTCATGCGGCTCTTCTTTTAATTCAAAGCATCTATATATTCTAACAGTTTTGTTAGTTTACACTGGAGACGCTTCCTGGACAAGAAGACTATGGCATACAATTTCGTTCTCAAAATATTTAATAAGCTTTATCATTATTATGTACTCCTGTAATATAGACTTAAATAATCGATAAACATTGACATTAAAATATGTAATTATGATAATTAAATTTAAACAAGTTTTTGATCCAATTGGGAATAAAATCACACAAATAATCAAATAAAATAAAACTCTAAAATCATCACTGAATATTTTTTTTTATATTAATTATAAGGTGAAAACCTTTCATTACCTCAACCTTTCATTTACCCGGACAAGCGTGTCACCTGGCTGTCACAAAGACTAAGAGAAGATGGGAATGAGGTTGCATCTAATTAATTCGACTATAATATTAACTTTTGATAATTATTAATAGCTACGATTACCTAAATAGGAACCAAAATAAATGTTATATATATATATATATATATATATAT